AGAGAGGAAACAAACACCGCACAAAATCCTCTTGCAGCTACCCTCTGCTTGGTCAAAGCCCACTGCCAGGGTAGCCTGGGCAACATGTGCATGGTTCGTCATGCCACAGCTACCTGAGTTTCAGAGAGCAAAACAAGGAATGAGTCAGTGGACCCTCTCCTCTCACCCCATTATTTCTGTATTTATGAAATTTGTCTGACAAACATTAAAGGCATTCAGGCAAGCCTCCGGCAGGGTTGTTTTCACCAGGGTTGGCAGACACACAGTGACCATGACAGAGCTCCATGCTGAAGAGCAAACCGGGGCTCGAGGAGCACATGAACCCTGGTTTCTCCCAGCAGCTCTTAGGTTTCCCAGCAGCTCTTAGGATAAACCAGGGCCAAGCTGGTCTCCCCGTTCCGCCTGCTGAGTACTTTAGAGCATCCAGCTCCCTGCAGAGCAAGGTGAAGAGAGGTATGAGGAGCAAGTCAGAGGCTGTCACGTGCGCCTTCAGCTCAAGGCCAAAACTGCCAGCTTGGGGCCATTACCAAGGTGAGAGCATCCCCACCTATGAACCTGACACATATCCCTCCTTCTCTATCATCCCCTTCCCATAAAAAAAAATAATCTTGCCAGCTGGCATTTCAAGCCTCCACAGCATGCAAATTCTTATCGTCCCTCTTCCCCACCACTGAAGTCTGGGCACATCACAGCCTTACCAGCTAGCTGCCCAGTAGAGCAATGGCCCCAGGAAGGGATGGGCAAGTCTCTACTTACTGAGGGGCAGGACGGTGATGGGGATGTTCTTTGGCCGCTTGCTCTCCTTGTCGATGAAGTCGCCTGTAACAGTCTTCTCCCGCTCAGTCACCCGGCAGTTGTACTTGCCGCTGTCCTCAAGACGGAGGCGGTAGATCTTCAGCACAAAAATGTTGTCACTTTCTTTGGCTACCTTGAGCTGGCCCAGAGCCTCGCGCTGGGCAAACTCATTGTTGAGCACCGGCACAGCGTTGGGCCCCAGGCTGGCAATGAGGGAGCTGTTGAAGGCCCAGGAGATGGAGAAGTAGCGGTCAGGGATGTTCTGTGCCTCCAGGATGCACCGGAATTCCACCGGCTCACCCACAATGTATGTCCGCTTCTCTGTCTCCAGCCGGACGCTAAACTCCTTATCTGGGGAGAGACAGACAAACTCACGTCAGCATGGCAAAGCCCACTGGGACAGCCAGCATACCTCACCTCATGCGAGGTATTTACAACTTGCCACTCTCTGTGTAGTCAACATCCCTCGGACACGTGCATCCACAGGTGGAGGGGCGAGGGGCTTGCTTTTGCTGTGAGAGCCCAGATCGGCCATGCTGCAGGAGAGGCAGCTTGCTGCCCAGCATGCAAGAGCTGCAAGACCTCCCCAGCCATAACCTTCTTCCCCAGCCATTACTCCTGGGATCAGCTCTGCTGCGGCACCAGCATCCAGTGGCACTGTGGGATGCAAGCTGGAGCCTAGTCCTGCTCGCACCCTGCTCAGCTGGGATTGAGAGGCAGGGCCTTTGGGGATATCAGAGAGGAAGAAAGAGCTCAGCTGGGTCTTTAGATCCTTAGCAGGAACCCGTACTGTGGGCTGGGAGAAGGATTTTGACTTGCAAACGGACCTCATGCAATACAGAAGTGCTTGCTGAAAGTTTTCATTTTATTTTCTACTGTGTCACTCTCACCTCCTCACGTACCAAAATTTTCATTGCCTGTGCTAGCACCAAGTGCTTAAGAAGTACGTTTTAGCTCCTGCGTCAGCCCCAGATCACTGGCCACATCAGAAGAGAGGGGCTGCCACTCAAGCCCCCTTGCTGCCCCAGTGTCCCCTGGTTGCTATTTGCTGACATCTTCCCCACCCGCAGGCAGTGCTTGGGCCCTCCTTTGCCCTGCTTCACCCTGCCAGCAGCCTCCCGAGCGGGGCACATGGCAAAGGAGGGAGCCAAGCCCCAGCCACCTAACAAGGCACAGCCCCCTTTTCCACCTCCTCCCACCACCCAGCCAAGCAAGAAAAGGCAGAGGAGACACTGACCGGTGGCTTGCACGTTGACGATGGCGCCCTGGGAACGCTTGCGGGTCATGGCATACCAAGACTTGTCTGGGTCCTGGATCCACTCTGCCGCCTCGCAGTAAAACTCGCCCTGATCTGATGGGTGGAGGTTGTAGATGGTGAGCTTTGAGGTGGTCTCCCCCACTTTGTCCAAGCGAACATCCCCCGTGGCTTGCCGCTGGGCGTAGGCGCTGCCGGCCCGCAGGACGAAGTCGCGGCTGAGGGAGATGACCTCCACGGGCGCCTCGCTGCCTCGCTGCCGGTACCAGGCAATGGAGACGTGGCTATGCTGGGCCGTGTTCTTGGACACCTCGCACTTCAGCTCCAGGGAGTCACGCTCCACTTTGTTCAGTGTCTGCGGGACCGCCGTCACTCGCAGCGAGTCGGGGATCACTGCAGCGAAGGGAGATGGGGAAACACAGCCCAAGAGTTAGCAACGTCGAAACGCTGAGTCTAAAGCCCAGACGCGTTAAAGGAGAGCTAGGGGAGAGGTTTCTTTTTACGGTTGTAATTAATCGTTAAGTATTAGCAAAGCCCTGTTAGCTCACATCTGGCCCCCAAGAAGAGGAGAGTTGTCCCCAAAGCCCTTGTCTGGGAAAGACCATGACCTGCAGCACATACTCCAGCGCTGTGCTTAAATTTTGGCTCAATGGCACAGGGTTTTCCATCACGCTGCAGAGCAGCACAGCTTAATACATCCACTTCCCATCGAGGCATTTCGTCACAGGCGGCCTCCCCTTCATCGTGTGCCCCCCACCATGCTTCACGACCCCCCTGCTGCCCACATCCTTCAGCCACTCCTTAACCCTGCACCATGGTCTTTGCCCCTCAGTCACCAGTGGGGCCAAGCTAAACATGTTTAGTTCCTTTAATCTTCCCTCATAAAATGTCAGGATATCCAATTCCACTTTCCTTCGTTTATATCATTTCATGTTTTAATGACCCCCTCAGGCCAAATGAAGGGGTTTCTGCATTTGGAGGGAAGTGGCTCCTCTGAGGGCAGCAATACAATTGCAGCATGCCCAGCGCCCACTCCCGGGACACAACCACGTCAAGGCACTTGGTAATAAAACTGCTGGCTACTTTTCCAGTTGATTAACCAGAGGAAAGGAAGTACAGCTGCTAAAATCAGGATGAAAAAAAAATTGCTGCCCCCCAACCTTGCTTGACTTTAGCAAGCATCTTAATTTTAGCAAGAGGTTCCACCACCAGAAGATAGACTTTCCTAAAAAGAAGCCTTTCTAGACTTCGTTGTCTCAAGAAACATCATGCGGAAAGAAGAATGCAAACCTTCTCCCCAGCTCTGCAGACAAAGCAGTGTTAGCGAGCCTGTTAATGCCCACTGTTTCGCCACGTACCGGTGGAATATAATTAACATATCTCAGTTTGGTTTCATTGGCAGCACTGGAAGGTTTGACGAAATTAGCTGAGCTGCCAAAAGCTGCATCTGTTTCATTCAGGCACAGCTACAGAAAGCAATGAGCTACAGTGAAGACAACCACTGGGATTGTTTATGGCAGAACAGTCAAAAGCAGAAGAGGGGAAAGAAAAAAGCCATGCGATGGAGTAAACGACAGGGAAATCTTCCTGTGTCCAGCCTGGATGGGAGCATTTGCTTTTACCATGCGTTCACTACCCAGGGAATTTACTGCCCCTGACAGGGAAAGTACCTGGTAAGGCCATTTACATTGCAGGCCATTGCCTCTGTCCCTGTAGCCACGTCTCCTCCTCCCTCCCTTCCCCTCATCTTCCCCACTGGGGCTCCCATCCCCTGATCACTGACAATAGCCTCTGGCAGACCATGGCCCAGATCCTGCCTCGCTTCGCCTTTTCCCCTTCCCTCCAACTAACCTTGCTGGTTCACGCCGCCTGCACGATAAGATTTAAATTTCTCATTTCAAACCTTTCTGAATAATTTCCAAAGCCGTGCAGCTCGTTTCTCTTTGCTCTTTAGCCACAGGCTCTTAAAACTTTTCTTAAGTTATTAAATTAAACCTGATCATCATCTTGCTGGAGTTACTTTCCTGCGGAACTGCTTTGAAGGCAGAGCTCCCTGCTACACCAGCCTCCGCACAACAACTTATGGGGTGAAAGCAGGTACCTGTGAAGAAAGTGTACTTGTCCTACTTCCCCCAATTTGAGAGCTCTGCGCACCCCACCGGTTGCCTGTGTGCATCCCCCCCAGCCCTGCTCAGCAGCACAGCCGCTCTCTGGCTAAGCACAAGGCAGAGAGCAGAGAGCTGCTTACCCCCAGGAGCCTGCCTGGCTCTGCGGGACAAGCCAGGTCATACTCGAGTAGGGGGCAGGCACTTGGCTTGCCAGACGCGGAGCTGCCCACTCCCCAGGAGTAATGCCGGGAAGCCTGTCTGAAGGCTGGGCCTCAGGTAAGCGCTTGCCGTTCCCCAAGCAGGTTAGAGGCTGGCTCAGGCAGCATTTCACCAGCTGGAACTGTGACTTCGTATTTCCAGGTCCTAACCTGGCTGGAGGGTTAGCATCTTTTACACTACGTGCACAAGCTATTGCAAAATGCATTCCTGGAGAAAAATCAGGAGGTGTCGGCATGCTGTTAAAGGCTGTAATTTAACTGTGGTAACATCTGACACGCTGTGCTGCATTCCTCCTGCTCTTGTGGTTAAAAAAGCCAAACAAGATTCTCCCAGTTAGAGGAATCAGTAAGACCTTTTGGGTTGCACGCAGCCTTGAGGCCGCTGTCTTAAATCAGCCTGGCATGGACACACATTTGGTTGGCGTCACCCTCCTAACCAGGAGAACTAGAGACCCGCTCGCTAAATGAAAGCCCAGTTTCTGAAGGATCAGACGTCAGGAGGGACAGGCAAGAGCCCTGAGCTGGCTGGGCCAGTGGGAAGGCTCTGTGCTTCACACCACCGCTCTCGCGCTTGGCCAGCGATGCACAAACAACTGTTTTAGTTACACTGCAAGATGTGCCTCGGGTACCAGGTTTGGGGAGGGGGGAAGCGGGTAGGAGAAAGGGGAAAATGCCGTTCTCAAGAGGCAGCCAAATGTGGCAGCAGGTCACAGCTCATTTCAGAAGCCTGACAAGCATTTCGTTCTGAGTGCTGCCGAGCACTGGGGACTCCCGCAGCAGGGCCGTAGGTCTGCTGGGGCTCACACACCACCCCAAGGCTCAGACCCCGCTGGCCTGCACTGACAAGAGGGCTACATGCACCTCAGCCCATCAGGCTGGAGCAGATCAGGCCTGGAGAGAAAAGCAAGCAGGGAACACCGTGAAGGCGCTCTCCAGGGCACGATGGTACACGCAGGGAGGTGTGTTATCAGAAGAGAAGTTCCTCCCAAGCCAGCTATCCTGCTCAGGCTTCAAGGACATCAGGTTGCAGATCAGGACACAAGTAATTCTTCGCATGACATTCACCCGGGAGCCCTGGCTCCACTGCCAGCCATCACGCTGCTGAGCTGCCTGCATCCATCCCGCAGCCACCCACCGTGGGAAGCACCAGGGTTTCCGGGAGCACACTGCAAGCTGAGCTCCACTTGAAAGCAAGGGTAAGCTTAGATGAGAATCATCACTGCGTGAAGGGGAGCAGGGCCACATCTGAATGAAAGCTGAGATGAATGCTGCAGGACACGTCCTCTTGCCCGCTCTTTCTCACCTAGCTCCTGCCTGTTTCTCCCCTCTTTTCAACGTGCTGTCCAGGCAGCCTGCCTTGCACTTCCCCCAGCGTCCAGCCTTGCCTCCTCCTTGTGCCCCAACACAAGTGCACCCCTGCAGCTGTCATGACCCCACGGAGGTGTCAGCAGAGCTCCCCTCTCTCCAGCATCAAGGTTAGGTTTGGCAGCGAGTGGCTGGACAGGGAGACGAGTGGCTGAAAAGCACTTGCTGGGAGCAAACCTATTGCGCTGCCGCCATCCCTGAGCCAGTCTGCTGAGTCTGGCCGCAGCTGACAGCATTGAACTTGTACTTACAGCACTGAAAAAAAGAGCACGAAATATAGCATTTCCTATTAGTCCCTAAGCTGCAGGTTACTGCAGAGGGCGCTAGAATAGCTACTTAGCAGTAGGTGGGCTGCTAAGCAGAGGGTGCTCAAAAGCACCCCCAAGTTTTGAGAGCTCCTGAAATATTAAATGCAAATATTGCCACTAGAGGGTGTCAGGGACCCAGCTAGGGAGAGTCCCAGGGCCCTGCTGCCAGGACAGAGGCGGGAGCCTGGAGATGCCCCCCTCTCCCCCAGGGTGGTGCCCATGGGCATCCCTCCTCAGGAAGCCTGCACACACAGCTCCAGTCAAGCCCACCTCAAATGCACACACCTCAAGTGACGAGCACTCTGTGAGCTACATAAAGTATTTACAGATGAGGAATTAAGGCCGCTTACTTTAGGATAAGGAACTGGCTTACAGTCTCTCAGAAAACAAGCAGGGAGCAGAGACTGGAGTTCCCAGGTTTGGCCTCAGCACACACCTCAAATTCTCTAATGTGCTCTCCTCCGAGCTCCAGGACCAGCTCCGTTTCCAGCAGCTCCTGGTGCCATGCTGAACTCTGCGTCAGGCGGACAAAGACAAGCCAGGAGTCTCCCTTTTCCCCAGGCTGGCTCTGGTTCGTCTGTGGGTATCCAAAACTCCAACCACCCCCAAGGGGTAGGCTATCAAAGCTCTTATGTGCCAGACATAAACCAGAGAGCTACCAACATTTCATCTACTCCCAGACAAGGCAGCAAACCTGCCTGAGATGCTGTTTCCTTGTTAAGCGTTGCAGGAGGGGCGTCAGGCTGGGAGCCAGAGGCTTCCTAGCTCGAGCTGGTAAAATAACACTGTGAAAATCACTTAGCACCATGGCAGCCTTACACTGTAGGCTCTTCAGGAGTAAAACAACTTCCACAGGCTATCCAGCACAGCGGGACCATCTCAGGCCACTGTAGGACAAGTAAAACCCACCAGCCTCTTCTTCCCTTGGACTCTGTTACAGCTTTTACCCACTGATACACTTTAGAGGCACCCTATGGTGCTACCCTGTGTCCCCAGCTGCCCCCTTCATATTACCTGGACAGAGCTAAGCTTGCCAAGTGTCAAATGTGAACTATTTAGGAAGAACAAATACACGTACTCCCTACTCCTAGGGAGCTGCTTCTGGCTGAGAAATACCGCTCTGGATTTTGCAGAGAATTAGTGCAAGAGTTATGTTTCCATCTGCCCCGTGACATCTTGTTGCCCTGCAGGGATCCCAGCTCAGCACCACAAACCTCCTTCCCCAGCCCCTGTTGTGCACACAAGACAGAAACAAGCTGCTCAAGAGGAACTGCAATGCCAGTACCACCAGTCCAGAGGCGAAGAGCGCTGGCAGGCACTGAATGGCACCGCAGGTGGGAGTGCGAGGCATGGGGACGCAGCGTTTCGTTATTACCCTCTGCAATCTGCTAACC